CGATCTCGATAAACCATTTCTGTATGGACCTCGCTTTGTGCACGGAGGCATTGTCATGCTGAAACAGGAAAGGGCCTTCCCCAAACTGTTGCCACAAAGGTGGACGCACAGAATTGTCTAGAGTGTTATTATATGCTGTAGCGTTAAGATTTCCCTTCACTGGAACTAAGGGGCGTAGCCCGAACCATGAAAAACAGCCCCAGACTATTATTTCTCCTCAACCAAACTTTACAGTTGGCACTATGCATTGGGGCAGGTAGCGTTCTCCTGGCATCCGCCAAACCCAGATTCATCCGTTGGACTGCCAGATGGTGAAGCGTGATTCATCACTCCAGAGAACGTGTTTCCACTGCTCCAGAGTCCAATGGCGGCGAGCTTTACGCCACTCCAGCCGACGCTTGGCATTGAGCATGGTGATCTTAGGCTTGTGTCCGGCTGCTTGGCCATGGAAACACACACACACACACACACACACACACACACATACATGTGAAGATGGCAATTGCCATGAGAACTCATGGCTAGTAGGGCGGTGTTGTTATTCATACTTGGGAGGTGTTGTTGCAGAACGACCAGACACCTCAATTATGTTTGATGTTTCGGGGGTGGACAGGAGCTGACAAACGAACCAGAAAAACACTGACTGTCACTATCGCGACAGGGATGATGGGCTGTCATCATTGAAAGGAAGGAAGGGAAGGGTGAGACACGCACTAACAACCAAACAACACATACACACTCAAACACACACACACACCTGTAAGACATAACAGTATAGGCAGCTTAGCAGATAAATAGAGATGGACGCTCGATAAAGCAGCACACAGTGTGCTTTATAGATGCTTATCTAGCACATGGGGATGTGTGAAACTTACTCCTCAGCCTGAAGTGTCCCCACTTGCGCTAGCAAATAGCTCGCTTTTCACGTGGCGCCGACTGGTAAGACGCTTCAGGAGGGCGGCCACGTGTGCTAGCAAGGCAGAGTTCCTGGGTTTGAGGTACTCGCTAAGCGTACAGCGTGACATCCTTTACACTTACATAACTCGTTTTGTTTTTTTCGCTAGATGAGACTCTCGCCATGCAACGGCCTCAATCGATCATCAGCCCACAGCATGCCAAAGGGGGAGAGAGAGATCATCCCACCAGACAACACAGCATGGCTCAGAGACTCAAGCGCAGGAGAAAGACAGGCAGATGGGAGGGAGGAATGAGCGAGTGAGAGAGAGAGAAAGGAGCGAAAGATGGCGAAGGACAGAGAGCGGGAAAATTGGGTGGCTGGGGGTTTGAGGAGCCTGGAGCGAACATGGGATCTCTGAACACTGTGTTGGAATTGCTTTGGTAATGTTATACAGGATGCATGTGTGCATTAATACAGTCATTCAGTAAAGCAGTAATACAGTAAAGCAGTAATTCAGTCAAGTACTTGATTGAATTGAGTTGTGAGGAACGAAAGGGACTATTGATGGTCAACATGTGCTAAGGTCATGATGGGGTCACGGTGTTCAGAACGTGCTAAACAGTACTATTCCAATGGGCCCTGGTCAGATCCCTACCACACTCTAAAGGCTGCTACTGCCCACCACATATAGTCCCGGGATCCTGCACCATGATTCACCACTACAGAGCATGATCTTTTTATAGCTTTCATATACTGTACATACTTTGCCATATTCCTTTGCTACATACAGTGCATTGTTCCAAAAATAACATATAACCCTGTAACCCCTCCCAGTAGTAAAACTAAATTAGTAGAGCTACATGGTTGAACTGCCTGACTATAATACAGTGTACCGCTTCACATATGAAATATTTACAGTATTAATATTTCTCCCCCATTTCAAAGAGCGTGTGATTTAGTTGTTCAAACACACACATACACACCCAAATACATACACACCCACAGTCCCACACACACACACACACAAATAGTGGGTATAAAATAAGCAATCCCTGTATTCTATTCTATAACAGCTTCCAAGCATTTGAATGTCAACAGAATAAATCATTTATTTTCACATCTGAACATACAGTGGGGAGAACAAGTATTTGATACACTGCCGATTTTGCAGGTTTTCCTACTTACAAAGCATGTAGAGGTCTGTAATTCTTATCATAGGTACACTTCAACTTTGAGAGACGGAATCTAAAACAAAAATCCAGAAAATCACATTGTATGATTTTTAAGTAATTAATTTGCATTTTATTGCATGACATAAGTATTTGATACATCAGAAAAGCAGAACTTAATATTTGGTACAGAAACCTTTGTTTGCAATTACAGAGATCATACGTTTCCTGTAGGTCTTGACCAGGTTTGTACACACTGCAGCAGGGATTTTGGCCCACTCCTCCATACAGACCTTCTCCAGATCCTTCAGGTTTCGGGGCTGTCGCTGGGCAATACGGACTTTCAGCTCCCTCCAAAGATTTTCTATTGGGTTCAGGTCTGGAGACTGGCTAGGCCACTCCAGGACCTTGAGATGCTTCTTACGGAGCCACTCCTTAGTTGCCCTGGCTGTGTGTTTCGGGTCGTTGTCATGGTGGAAGACCCAGCCACGACCCATCTTCAATGCTCTTACTGAGGGAAGGAGGTTGTTGGCCAAGATCTCGCGATACATGGCCCCATCCATCCTCCCCTCAATACGGTGCAGTCGTCCTGTCCCCTTTGCAGAAAAGCATACCCAAAGAATGATGTTTCCACCTCCATGCTTCACGGTTGGGATGGTGTTCTTGGGGTTGTACTCATCCTTCTTCTTCCTCCAAACACAGCGAGTGGAGTTTAGACCAAAAAGCTCTATTTTTGTCTCATCAGACCACATGACCTTCTCCCATTCCTCCTCTGGATCATCCAGATGGTCATTGGCAAAAGACGGGCCTGGACATGCGCTGGCTTGAGCAGGGGGACCTTGCGTGCGCTGCAGGATTTTAATCCATGACGGCGTAGTGTGTTACTAATGGTTTTCTTTGAGACTGTGGTCCCAGCTCTCTTCAGGTCATTGACCAGGTCCTGCCGTGTAGTTCTGGGCTGATCCCTCACCTTCCTCATGATCATTGATGCCCCACGAGGTGAGATCTTGCATGGAGCCCCAGACTGAGGGTGATTGACCGTCATCTTGAACTTCTTCCATTTTCTAATAATTGCGCCAACAGTTGTTGCCTTCTCACCAAGCTGCTTGCCTATTGTCCTGTAGCCCATCCCAGCCTTGTGCAGGTCTACAATTTTATCCCTGCTGTCCTTACACAGCTCTCTGGTCTTGGCCATTGTGGAGAGGTTGGAGTCTGTTTGATTGAGTGTGTGGACAGGTGTCTTTTATACAGGTAACGAGTTCAAACAGGTGCAGTTAATACAGGTAATGAGTGGAGAACAGGAGGGCTTCTTAAAGAAAAATTAACAGGTCTGTGAGAGACGGAATTCTTACTGGTTGGTAGGTGATCAAATACTTATGTCATGCAATAAAATGCAAATTAATTACTTAAAAATCATACAATGTTCTCCCCACTGTACCTGTGCCTGTATGAACCAATGAGCACACTGTTACAGTATGAAATGTGTCCTTTTAAACTGTTGTCTACCAGAGGAAATCACTTGTAACCCTAAAAAGGAAGTCATTGTGAGACAGGAAGTGACCCGCTAAGATGTCCTGAGATAATGGGAGAATCTCATTTGGATTTGCTCAACTCCTGCGTCCTCTCTTCTGCGTCCTCCCTCTCTCGCTTACTGTATATGAAATTAGACTCTCTTTCTCCACTCACCCGTCATTAGGCAAATTATGTTTACAGGGGTGGAATGATAGAGATGTATGTTATATATCAATGGGTGAAATCCCAAAAATACATGTGTGAAGTGATAAAAAAACGAATTTAGATAGTTGTGCAAGACATTTTATAGATAAAAGGATAAGTAGCATTTCGTTTTTAAATGTTTGCATGCTTTTCTCCTTCAAGAAAACAACAGCTGATTCAAAGGGGCAGGTATTAAAAGACTTCCACGCTTGCCACCACAAGGATACTCTTGTGCTTCCTCTGCAGAAGAAGGTAATCGAGGAGGGGAGCAGGCTCCTTCGTTAACCTACTAACAAATTCACACTCCCCTCCACCACTTATCGGTTTCCGGATCACGGAGAAAGGACGGAGGAGTCGAGGAAAGGATGAACTTTTGCCCAAATTAGAATCTCCGATGTCTGACAGCAAGGTCCTGTCTCAGTCCAGACAGTCTAGATTAGCAATATCCTGTCGTCATAGTAACTGCTCCATTGGAGAGTCACTTTCACATATTTTCAGCTTTTGAAAAACGATCCTTCTCCCCTATTGTCCATAGCCATTTTCACACTTTGGAAATGTCCAGAAAAGCTGTGATATCCTATTGTTTCAGCGATATGTCAGTCAGATAGAAGATCAGTTTGCCGTATTGGATCACTGGCCCTCTGATCAGCTAGTTTCCTAAAGAAAGTCACCTGATCAGCTAATGTTTGGGCCTCCCCAGGTTAAAGGTATTTATAGAGAGAGAGGAAGAAAGATAAGCAGAGGAAGAAAGATAAAAATTAGAGAAAGGAGGGAGAAAGGAGAGAATATGTGACGTCAGAGAGCATTGAGTGTTTCTACCGAACCCCTCGTTTAGAAGTGGCTAGCATTGTTTCTTTTGTTAGCATCATTAGCAGTGTTACTGTGTGGGCTTAGAGGCAAAATGGCTGAACAGCAGAACGAGTTGCTGTGAGAAACGGTGTCAGTCAGTGGACTCTTGAATGTTGCTTCTCCAACTCTAAGGTCACTAATCTAAATGACAAACACATGCTCTAGTGATGACTCGTCCAAGTGTGCGCTGCTGTGAGTGATGATAGCAATTTCTGTGGCACAGTCAGGAATTCGAAATTGGGGATCTTCTCGGCAGCATTGTAATAGGTCAACCTTTCACCCCAGTCTCAATGGCAGTCGCTATTACTTTGCACAGCTTCCTATCGCTGTGGCAACAGCCACAGATACTGCTGCTCGTCCCCTCATTCTCAGACACAGATCTCTATGGCAGTAGCCATCACCATCTGGCTCTTGGTCTTCTCCCGGCCCGGAGAAGAGTGGTGCTGGCCAGGAGACTCCTCCTGAGGGGAATAGGGGTCAGAGAGGACACTCCTCTTCAGGGGCGCTGGGCGCAGTAATGTGGTCGTCCCAGGTGGGGTGGAGGGCTCTGGGTGTCTGTGGGAGCGTGACGAGGAGGAAGACGAAGAGGAGGTGGAGGTACAGCTTGCGGAGCATACACCAGACGAACTGGACCTCTCGCCTCTCTTGGCCCGGCAGGAGGCGCGGCGTCGGAGCTCGCTGACCAGCTCGTACTTCACAAAGCAGAAGACGTCCTTCACGCCGCAGCGCTTCTCAGGCTCGGCGGCGAGCAGCCGCTGGAACATGCGTAGGGCGTCATCGGTGAAGCGGCGCCACTGGGACGGGTAGGCCGCTGTGGGGCACCCCGCCCGCTGCCAGCGGCGGAACTCCTCGTAGAAGGCGTCGGCAGGCAGCGCTGCCTCCCAAGGGAAGTTACCCGTCAGCATGCAGAAGACGAGCACACCGAAGGCCCACACGTCTAGACTGGTGGTCACCAGGAAGCCTTCGGCACGACTGGCGCGGCACACCTCTGGCGCCGTGTATGGGATGGTGCCGCTCACGCGCTTCACGCGACAGCCCACGCGCCGCGTCATGCCGAAGTCAGCCAGTTTGATGCGTCTGCACTCACGGTCGAAGAGGAGCACGTTCTCGGGCTTGACGTCGCGGTGCACCAGGTTCTTGCTGTGCATGAAGTCCAGAGCCAGACCCAGCTGCTGCATACAGCGCTTCACCATCTCCTCCGGAAGACCAACCTACAAGGAGGAGGAGAGGAAAGGAGGAAGGAGGGAAGAAAGAGAAAGGGGTGAACAGATTTGTTTTAGAGTGTACAGTAGAGGGGAGGAAAACCAAGTGCAATAAATGAAATTAGAAAGAAACAGAATAAAGGTGTAGAGGGAGTAAAGTGGGACAAAAGAGGCTTTGTTAAGCGTTATATTTGCACTCATCTTTAACAACCTAGAGTAAGAACCTTTGAGTCAAATGTAGCCCTCCACTGAAAAGCACGGAAATGAAATGAGAGCCTTACAGTACATACTAAAGGAGCATGCAGCTCAAATTTGAGTAGGGACTTAAACAAGGCTCCAATCCCAGAAGGGCTTGTTAAAAACACATCGCTTTGAAACACTGCGCTTGATTGGCTAGGGTGTGGGAGAACAGTGAAATAGTGGGCAGATGATAAGCATGATCCAGTACAGTACCTGAGGGGGAATGATGTCGAACAGGTCTCCCGCGGGCGCGTACTCCTGTCCGAAGACGTAGCTATCCTCTGTCTCGAAGAGTACGTCCAGGACTTTGATGATGAAGGGGCTGCAGCTCAGTGTGCCCGTCAGGCTGTACTCCCTCAGGAAGCTCTTCAGCTTCGTCTTGCTCTTGGTAACAAACTTCAGAGCCATTTTGGTGCCTGATATGTTCACACAGAGAAGAACCGAATGAATGAAGGAATACTTTAATGTCCTGTAGGAAAAGTTGTTTGGCAATCATTTCAGAAGACAGAGACTGTATCAACATACTGTACAGTATCAGAGCAATATCTTAGAGTCAAGGCAAATATAAACTAAACTGACATTTATTAAGTGAACTGAACTAAATATGCCTGTGCTATCTGATTCTGTGTATGTGAAACCTCCTCCACTCCCCTCTCTGTACCAGCTGCCTCTGTGCTCTGAAACACACCCTCAGCTGTTGATTAAGCACACAGCTGTGGAATCAGAGCTTCTTAGAAAGCTTCCACTGTACTTTTACCCAGTCTAGTGCTCTCTTCACCTTAATGGCGTGTAACCTTTTAATGAACTCTCAACTTAAAGAACCCTTTCACCCTGAAGTCTTACACTATCGACCTCACAACGCCCCGTCACTGTAGTGCCCGTTTCACTGAACCTTTGATTTAGCCTACATTCTATGGCACCATCTGGCTCTCTGGTCCTGTTGTAGTATGACTGTGTAAACTCCATTGAAACCTTTGCTCCCAACAATGTCCCTTCACCACACCCATGCATGCCCTCTGACTCACCCTGTGTGCGGTGTGCCACCAGGTCCACCTTGCCGTAGGTGCCCTTGCCCAGCTTGCGAATGTGCTCGTAGTGTTTGGCCACATCTGCAGCCGACAGGGAGGTTATGGCCAGAGCCTGCATGTCCTCCACAGGCGCCCCTCCACCACCACAGTAGCCCACCTTGGAGGTGGGAGAGCCCCTGCCGCTGCCCACCTGGCCCGGCCCCGACGGAGACAGAGACAGGCTCGCCTTGACACTGTGGGGCAGACTGGGGTCAGAAGAGAACACACACAAACATAACATTAAGTCATGTCTGAGGCAGTAAAGAGTAGGAGAGTTTCATGCTAATACAGCAAGCTTATTGGCGATCCCACACACACGTGACAACTTGACTTAGAATGACGCTCAGTGTGTGTGTGTGTGTGTATGCGTGTGTGTGCTTTTTTGCCTATGTGCAAATGAATGACTACACTGAGGTGAAAGCTATGATCCCTTATTGATGTTACCTGTTAAATCCACTTTTAAAATCAGTGTAGATGAAGGGTAGGAGACAGTTTAAAGAAGGATTTTAAGCCTTGAGACAGATTGTGTATGTGTTCCATTCAGAGGGTGAATGAGTAATACAAAAGATTTAAGGGCCTTTGAACGGGATATGGTAGTAGGTGCCAGGCACCGCTGTTAGAGTCTGTCAAGAACTGCAACGCTGCTGGGTTTTTCATGCTCAACAGTTTTCTGTGTGTATCAAGAAAGGTCCACCACCCAAAGGACATACAGCCAACTTGATACAACTGTAGGAAGCATTGGGCCAGCATCCCTTGGAATGCTTTAGACACATTGTAGAGTCCGAATTGAGGTTGTTCTGAGAAAAAAAGGGGGTGCAGCTCAATATTAGGAAGGTGTTCCTAATGTTTTGTACACTCAGTGTATAATAGACAGTTCGAGTACATCTTCATTTGCATACAATCAATGCAGTGGAAGAGGAGCAGAAGGGGATTGGGTTGTGTGCCTGGCAGTGGAGGCTGGTGGGAGGAGCTATAGGAAGATGGGCTCTGTGTAATGGCTGGAATGGAATTAATGGAACGGAATCAAACATGTGGTTTCTATATGTTGGATGTGTTTGACACTGTTCCATTTATTCCATTCCAGCCATTACAATGAGCCCGTCCTCCTATAGCTCCTCCCACCAGCCTCGACTGGTGCCTGGTAAACATATTTGACATAGAGTCCCTCTGGGCAGTTAGACATGGGTCTTAGACTGGGTCTAAGGGTCGCTGAACTTCTAGGAACTCATGCAGACAATATTGACCTTTACAGTACACAAGAATGGAGCTGGGCAGGTGGATGTAGGGATGGAAACAGCTGACACAGAAATGGTAAAGGCCGTGGTGGATATAATATAATAATAATAATAATAATAATAATCCAGATTATATTCAAAGTGCCTCTTCCAATAGAAATGCATTGCCGTACAATCGATAGCGTGAAGGGAGAAAAAGGGATTAGTTGTGCCCAGTAAATATATTTGGCTTGTAGTGGCTCTGGGCTAGCTGTTGGAATGCTGGTTGTCGACTCAATTTGCTGAACCCTGAAAACGTTGTTGTTGAGATGTTTGGTAGGACTTTGCCATAGGACAGACTGACCATTGGAGGACATGGTGGTCGTATAGGGCAGCAACACTTCATTACACTCTATGACACAATAGATGCGCTTATTCGGAATGCTAGCTGACCTAAAAAACTAACAAACATATAAATCTCTACCATTGTCATTGTGTGTGACTGTTTTTATGTGCTGTGTGTTTACTTGTACTGTACCCACATATAGGGTTATTGATAAGGCAAGGCTGATCTCACACAGAGATCATCTATTGTGCATGAATATCAACACACACAAACCCCAACAGTGTATATTTCTCACAGAGATGGACCATTGGAAAGCGAGCACTCTCGCTCTCTCACAGACACACACACACACACACACACAAGTTCACTGAAGGCTCTTTCTCCTCTCCCTCCCTCCCTCCCTCCCTCCCTCCACAGCCCAGCTTTTTTGTTCTGTTCTTCCTCTCGTCCAAATGAGATCACTCAGCTACATCTTGTGAGAAGAAAGTAATAAATATTGTAAGATGAATTAGAGGGAGGAAACTGAAATAGGATGCAGCTATTTGGAGCCACCTTCGTTTCTAAGATCTTCACACGCTGGGACTAAACAAGGCCAAATTATAACAGTGTGCCTTGCTAAGTATCTTCCATTAGAACACAAATACTAATTTATTCAGTGAAGATTAGAGCCCAGAGAGATATAGACATCCTGTAAGTCACAGCGTGTCTTCTGCCTAGGAGTGAAAACTGTACAGTCCATTGTCTATGCAGCGTATATCTATGTTGCTCATTTGCTGTTATCAAAAAACAGCTTTGAACAGGTTTGGTTCAATTGACCAAATAACCTTTGAAAGTTAGAAACAGATTGACTAGACCGGATCCCCGATCCTGCTCCTGATCCATCAGTCATAATGAATGTTTGTTTACTGGCACTCCTTCAGCTCTAGCTTGCTAGCTGCAGCCACCTAGGGCTCCACGGAGGGACATGCAACGCTCCGGCATCAAGTCTAATCGCATTACTCAGCCTCCACTAAGACAAAAACACCCCCGAACCCAAGACGCTGCCACCTCATTTCCTTTGCAGAGCATGATTAAGAGACCCAGAATGTGATGAGAGGAAGAGAGATGCATCAGCTGCAGTCTAATGTTCTAAATGGGAACCTGGAAATTGGTACCTGCAAAGTGCTTTGTGGGTGTGTTGATGGAGGTTTATGTGTGAGTCTGGGTTTGGATGAATGTGTGTACTGAATTTGTTGTGAATGTTTGTGTATAAGTGTGTGACTGAGCTCAGTTTGCATGTATTGGTTTGTGTGTGAGTGTCTATGTGTGTCTGTGCCCCCGTACACACAGTCCGGCAGTGACACTATCAAAGGGCCATTGTGTTTCTCTCTCTCCCAGAGAGCAGCTGCGGCGCTGCATGAGGGAGGCAGAGCGTCTCCACCGGGTCTCTTTCCTCACGACTGTTCAGCTAAGGCCACATGCCACACTGTGCTCCCATACTGCTCTCTGATCCCACGCTGTCTTCAGCAGCTAGAAAAGAGAGGCAGCATGGATATATAGGGATTTCACTGGTGTGAGATCCTCATGTCCCTTGGTTTATTGAGCCAGTGTATATCATTAAAATAACTGAAGAGTCTGCACACTCAAATGATCCATACACACATTTCACTACTTGGATCAAAACACTTAAATAAAGGTATGTTATTATCTATGCATAGTCACTTTATCCCTACCTACATGTACAAATTACCTCGACTAACCTGTACCCCAGCACATTGACTCGGTACCACTACCCCCTGTATATAGCCTCGTTATTGTTATTTTATTTTTTACTTTAAATGTATTTAGTAAATATTTTCTTAGCTCTATTTCTAGAACTGCATTTGCATTGGTTAAGGGCTTGTAAGTAAGCATTTCACGGAAAGGTCTACACCTGTTGTATTCCGCGCATGTGACAAATAGCATTTGATTTGATTTGATGTTAGTTAGATAACACAGTATGGTTGCCATTAAAATGGGTGAGCGGATTGCAGTGAGAGATCTATTCCAGTTTCTCATTCCCAATTCATGTCATTCTTAGCACCTCTGAACCTTCATTGCTCTAGACTCTAGAGATCACCACATGCAGCAATTAGGTATTTTCTGCAATGTTTCATGTGCTGTGAACTGAAAGATGACCTCTAGCAGCCATCAGCGCAGAGGTCGTCTACTTCGCTAACCCTAACAGATAAGACATCCCCTTTAAAAGTCCAGAATGCACTAACAGACAAAAACATACCATTTAATGTCCTGAATAGTCCACACTAACAGACAGTAGAACCTACATGAACCACACACACACACATTTCTGCTAAATTGCAAAAACGGTATTATTATATATTAAAATGGTCTACAGTAACAGCCTGGACCTCCATATGCCCAGACACGAGATGGCTAGTGAAATAGCCAGACGACCTTTACTGAACAAACTCTTGGCTTGTGATGAGAATAGAGATGAACCCTGCGATGCCAAAATGTTTATTTATTTTTTCTCAGTTTGTGTCACCATCTCATGTAGAGGGCAGAACGTTTTAATACCCCCTTTACTTATTCCACAAATTGACTTTTTCCCCCTCAACCATCTACACTCAATACCCCATAATGACAAAGTGAAAACATGTTTAAAGACATTTTTGCAAGTTTATTGAAAATGAAATCCAGAAATCTAATTTACATTTCACACCCCTGAGTCAATACTTTGTAGAAGCACTTTTGGCAGCAATTACAGCTTTGAGTCGTCTTGGGTAGGTCTGTATCAGCTCTGCGCATCTGGATTTGGTGATTTTCCCCATTCTTCCTTGCAGATTTTCTCAAGCTCTGTTAAGTTAGATGGTGCAATCTTTCCACAGATTTTCATTGGATTCAAGTCTGGGCTTTGGCTGGGCCACTCAAGGACTGTCACATTCTTGTTCTGAAGCCATTCCAGCGTTGCCTTGGCTGTATGCTTGGGGGTCATTGTCCTGTTGGAACATAAATCTTCGCCCCAGTCTAAGGTTGTTTGCACTCTGAAGCAGGTTCTATTCAAGGATTTGCCTGTATTTGGCTCCATTCATTGTTCCCTCTATCCTTACCAGTCTCCCAGTCCCTGCCGCTGAAAAGCCTCCCAATAGCATGATGCTGCCACCACCATGCTTCACGGTAGGGATGGTGTTAGACAGGTGATGAGCTGTGCCTGGTTTTCTCCAGACATAGCGCTTTGCATTCAGGCCAAAGAGTTCAATTGTCTCATCAGACCACAGAATCTTTTGTCTTTCACGTGCCTTTTTGTAAACTCCAGGCGTGCTGTCATTTGCCTTTTTCTCAGGAGTGGCTTCCGTCTGGCCACTCTCCCATAAAGCCCAGATTGGTGAAGTGCTGTAGAGACTGTTGTCCTGGCAGGTTCTCCCTTCTCAGCCAAGGAACTCTGTAGTTCTGTCAGAGTGTTCATTGGGTTCTTGGTCAACTCTCTGACCAAGGTCCTTCTTGCCCGGTTGCTCAGTTTGGGTGGATGGTCAGCTCTAGGCAGAGTATGGGTAGTTCCATATGTTTTGTATTTCCATTTGATGCAGACCATTGTGCTCTTGGAAACGTTCAACACTCTAGAAATTGTTTAATACCCTTCCCCAGATATATGCCTCATCACAATTCTATCTTGGAGATCTACGGACAGTTCCTTGGACTTCA